ATTGTACATGCAGAAAAATGAAGCTGCTGTGTTGAAACAAATCTGACTCCAAACCCAAACCCACTTCAATTGGTTGTGTGTGTGTGTGTGTCTGTGTGTATACAAAGCCTTTTCAGAACTGGCCCAAGGATCATTTTTCACTGGGGAAGACTGATCTGGTCAATTTCTGTCTCTCCCTGTAATTTCAGCCCCTTTTTGGTGTGACTCATCTGTATGGTCCAAATGCAGTTTTGTTGCTAAGGTGGTGTGTTTACTTATCTCCTGTTCTGCGATCTGTTTTACCCAGAAACATTGTGGAAGGAAAAAGAGGGATTTTTCATATGATTCCCCCCCCCCAAAAAAAGTTATAGTGAAGCCTAAATCTTATACGATATCAAAGATTATAGTGATGGCATTGTTGGAGAAATCATGTGTGATACCTTTTCCAAATAAAAGTAATACCTTTTGTTTCCTTTACAGAACATAGGTCAAGATCATGTTACAAATTATGAGATAATAGTAAGTAGATTTTTTTTGTATTCCGTGGCTATTTTGAGTAATATTCTTCTTGTATGCCATACAACTTGCCTTTTGTTATTCATACCCGCTAGAATGCCATCTTCTTTTGCTATCTTCAGAGACTCTGGAGCAAAAACTAAGCAGGCAAGCCAAAATATTTCACCTGTTTCATGTGAAGCAGCTTCAAATACCTATTACATCCCCTAAAAAACACTGACTCCTAAACTGGAGTGACGGCTCCCCTGGGTTCTGAACAGCAAAGGGAAAAACATATATTTTGGAATTGTCTCCAAGGGACAACTTGAGGGTGGGGAGTGTTTCCCCAACTTGTGGTTCTTCTCTCTGCAAAATAGTAAATTGTTGGCTCAACTAGTCTTTCTGTCAGATGCAATTTTCCTTATGAGATGCATTTCCTCATTTTGCTTCCCAGGATTAATTTTAATCAGAATTTGCTTTGGAAACCAGCTTGGCTTTGTTCTCCTTGAAAAAGAATAATGGAGTTTTGGATAGGCTTCTAGGATTTTGCTGATATATATAATAGCATTTTTCCTGCAATCCCAACCATTTCCTTGACTTTGCCTGCCTTGAAGATATAGCATTATGTTCCTACTCTGGTGTTGTGAGGCCACTCACATCAATATCCTCCATGGCCTTCAAGAGCTCACCAGTTTATTTTAGTGGGCTGCAGGGGCCCAGGCAAGGCCCACACCTATCATGTACTGGCACAACTTATGAAGGAATCCTTAATGTTTTTTCTTCTTCTTTATAGTCAGTCAGAGATAAGATAATACCTATTATGAAGAAAGCTAAGGATGACAAAGGAGTGTCTAAACTGATAGTAAGTAGATATGCACTTAACGTCTAATTTCTGCTGTTTTCAATGTTATCTTTTTTGAGATAGGGTTACTCTGGAGACTGCTCCCCCCTCCCCTCAAGGATTTACATACATTTCAGAATTTTTTTATTTGATTTGTCAATCGCTTACAAGGTAACAGGTATAAGTATAAAATAGTTATGAATACATGAAATGGATACATATAAGAAAAACCAAAAGAAATAATAGGACAGGGACGGTAGGCACGTTGGTGCGCTTATGCACGCCCCCTACAGACCTCTTAGGAAAGGGGTGAGGTCAATAGTAGACAGTCTAAAGTTAAAGTTTTTGGGGTTTGGGGAAGAAACCACCGAGTCAGGTAGAGTATTCCAGACATTGACCGTTCTGTTGCTGAAGTCGTATTTCCTGCAATCAAGTTTGGTGTGATTAACCTTGAGTTTGTATCTATTGTTTGCTCTTGTGTTGTTATGGTTGAAGCTGAAGTATTCATTGACAGGTAGGCAATGTATGATTTTATGTACTATACTTAGACCGGACCGAAGGTGGTATAGTTCTAGATTTTGTAGGTCTAGAATTTCGATTCTGTTGGCATAAGGTATTCTGCAATGAGTAGAGGAGTGGAGAAAACTATAAATTCTTGAGGGTATTTAAAGGAGAGCATCGTTATGACTATTATGAAATTATGAGAGATTCTGGCTTCAGAAGTCTTCCCCGGAGCTTAGAAGAAAAGCTTAAAAGAAAAAGTCAAGAAACTCCATCAATATTTGTACTTTTCCAGAAGGTGTCTGTTCGCTTCTAATCATTCTATGTTATAAGAAGAAATACGTTTCTTATTTGAGTAATGAAAGTATAAGTATAAAAATATGATATGCCTATGTAATATTGAAGATGGCAATGACAGCATGGAGAGAGAAGTCATGTGTTTTTAGATTATTGGAGAGTAGCCTTTTCCTTGGTCACTGCGGTTGTTAGGTGGCCTGTCTCTTTGTTGATGTTGCATATTTCTTTTCGTTTGATCTAGTATGCTCAAGCTATCCCATTGGTGTTAATACCCTCTATGGCCCTCATGAACCCTTTCTTGATTTAAGCAAACTGTAGTGTCTCAGGCCTGATGCACACAAATCCTGATAGGATACACTGCCACACCTTAATTATAAAGGCATCCTTTGTTTCCATTTTAGAGTGCATTCACTGATGATGAAGATGGAACAACTGTAAGTGGCTTCTGTTTATTTTCTGTCTTTGCTTTCTTTCATACTCTTCTTTGACCTGAGGAAAGCACCCTTCTTATCTTTATTCCGCCTAAACCAAAAGCATCTCCAGACTCCGCAGAGCATCATCAAAACAGGAAGAGCTAAAATATTCGTTCAAAGGCATCTATGACATAGGGTGACGGTTTCTTCTCCTTCTTGAAAAAGCAGAACAGGTCCATGGCTGCAGTTCTGGTGCTTCCTCCATGCCTTCCTTCCTCTGCCATGTTGGGGGGATTAATCCTCAGCAGAGGCCCTCCCAGAGTTCTTTGTTTGACTCGGAAGCCATATACAAAGGCTTCTACAAGGCACAGGTTGCAGTTGGCCGGTTCGAAAGACAACATTGTGTTTTGCAGTAAATTCATTGGCTTGGTTCATAATTTTCTGCCTTCCAGAGTCAAGCTGTCCCTGGCGGACTCCGTCCTGGGATGTCTGTATATATGCAAGGCACAGTGCCCGAACACAATAGGTAAGATTTCTTTGGGGGCTCAAAGAAGGGCAAGAGCTACCTCACTGAAAATAATAGTGATAAGTTTATTATGTCGAGACTAGATTATATTATCCTATTGCATGCCAAGATCAAACCCTTTCTTAATTCTTTGTATAGTTCCGCTTCCTGCTTTTTCCAACTCCAAGTAAGCCACAAGAGCTAGGAGCTTGATTCTTCTCTTAAACCAACAAATTAGAATATTACAGATTCCAGCTTCAAGGCAAAGGAGGAGAGGGCAGAACTCTACTCTGAGATTCCTGCAGCCCCCATTTAATTTTCTGCTTGTCTTTTCCTGTCTATTCCAGAACCTGGGTGTACTTCCAGGTGGAGTTTGCCTGTGGCCAGCAAAAGGGGGGTGATGTTCCCCTCCACTTCAGGTCTCACATTAATGGAGAGACAGTTGGCTTCAGCACACTTCAGGATGGCAGGTGGGGAAAGGAAGAGAAACTCATGAATCCATTCCAAAAAGGCAAGCACTTCGAGGTCCTCTGGATTGTCCATAATTTTGGATACCAGGTTAGTACCTGTGACAGAGGCCCCTTTGGGGCTGCAGGTGCCTCTTTGTTCCCCCTTCAGAATTCACCCTAGAGTAGCATAGGAATAGAACAGAATAAAATAGAATTGGAAGGACTTTGAAGGTCTTCTAGTTCAGCCCCTGCTCAAGTAGGAGACCCTATGCAATCTCAGACAAGCAACTGTTCAATCTCTTCTTAAAATCCTCCAGTGATGGAGAGGCCATGATTTCTGAAGGCAAAGCTGTTCCTACTGGCTAATTGTCCTCACTGTTAAGAAGTTTCTCCTGAATTCCAGGTTGCTTCTCTCTCCAATTAGTTTCTAACCATTGCTTCTTGTCCTGCCCTCTGGTGCTTTGTAAAATACGTTGACCCCCTCTTTTTTGTGGCAGATCCCAAGTGAGACTTGATGCCTTTGGCTTTGCCCTCTGACAGGTCCTAGTGAACAGGAACACCTTATGCAACTACAACCACAGAATCCCCCCACAAAACATCCGGGTCATTAGCATTGATGGAAACCTGGAACTGCAATCTCTGTCCGTGATGGGAGGACAAGTCAAGGTAAGTATCTGATATTGACAAGTTGGCACTTCCTGATCCTTGATCTCTCTCTGGAGACTGATTCTGAAAATTCAATCCTCAACCTATTGCTTTCCCTCTCTGCTCTCCAGTCATCCTTCTCATACATTTTCCTTCATCCCTACGAATCGTGGCCGTTCTGGGTCCTCAGTTGCCTTGGCTTATGACTCTGCATGCTAGCAAAAATATCCATCCTAAAGTGATGCTAAAATCAGCATCTGAACAGGGTCCAAATTTACCCCAGGCCAAGATCCTTCTTTTACCTCTTGTACGTAGATGAATATAAAGCAGTGTTTCTCAACTTGATAATCTTAAGATGTCTGACTGGACCAACAGGCAGGTTTCAGATGTTTGCTAGGCACCTTTCCATTGCCTGGTTGTTCCTTGGGAACGTTCAGGGAAAATGAAAGGGATGAGAACATTGTCTCATCTGTTATTAGAATGCCTATCATCCTGTATGTGATCTGGACTGGTAAAAATTCTGGAACTTGAGGGCCAACATGTTGGAAGCACAAGATTAGCCTGGGTGGGACGCTGTCCATGGGACTTCCCTACCTTGTCCAGGAGATGCTGTGGTCTCAATGCAGTTGGTGGCCTCTACCTGTCCCCCATAGAGCTAAAGCAGAACCAGTCCATGGCTGCAGTTCTGGTGCTTCCTCCAGCCTTCCTTCCTTGCCACGTTGGGGGAATTAATCCTTAGCAGAGGCCCTCCCAGGAGGACTTTGGTTGACTCAGAACCTCACAGAAAGGAACAGGTTGCGGTTGGCTGATTTGAAAGTCAAAGTTGTGTTTTGCAATGAAGTCATTAGTTTGGTTCATCATTTTCTGTCTTCCAGACTCCCCCTTACGATCACCCTGTCTCTGGTGGACTCCATCCTGGGATGGCTGTATATATTGAAGGGACGGTGCCCCAAAAAGCTACCAGGTAACATTTTGGGGGTGGCTTCCAGGAAGGGCAAGTGGCCACCTTGCTAATAAGATTATCATGTTGTTAAGAGAAGGTTAAATCATTCTGTGCCAAGATTAAAGCTTTCCTTAATTCTTTGGATGGTTCTACTTCCTGTTTCTTCCAACTCCAACTAAGCCACGATGGCTAGGAACTTGATTCTTCTCTTCAAGCAAAAACCCAGCCTCCTGTAGATTCTAGCTTCAGGAAAAGGAGAGGGGGAGCAATGAGAACTCTACTCTGAGATTCCTACACCTCCCTTTTAATATTCCTCTTCTCTTTTCCTCTCTTTCTTCCAGGTTCGTGATGAACTTTCTCTGTGGCAGAGACATTCTCTTCCACTTCAACCCTCGCTTTCCTCAGCAGCACGTTGTGCTCAACATATGTCAGTCCGGCAGGTGGGGAAAAGAGGAGGTTCACAAGATGCCTTTCCAGAAGGGCGAGCATTTTGAGGCCATCTTCATTGTCAAGGAAGCCGAATACCAGGTGGATACACGCGAGAGAGGCTCCTTTGGGACTGCAGGAGCTCCTTCATTCCCCACCCCGCCCCACAAAATTCCCCGTTTGTCTGGAGTGAACTATGAATGGGTTTAATACTGACCTTCTCAATGTTCTATTTTCAGATAGGGTTTAAGTGATGTGCAAGCAGTCCTTGTTTAGTGAAACGGGGCCAGCAACTTAGTCATCAATGGGGTCAAAAACTTGACTGGTTTTTTTTATTAGATTTCAGCCTTTCTCTGCAGTCAAATGCCAGGACTAGCGGCAAAGTTACTATTTCATCAGTATCCTAACTGCTAACAGTCACTAAATGAGGACGACCTGCTGCAAAATGGAAAAGCTTTTGGTCCAGAGAGGAATGAAGGACTCTCCCTTTTTACATGTACTCATTTTAACCATTTTGATCTCCTCTATGATTCTGCTTATTCTGCTCAGCTTTGGGGTGGCAGGTGTTCCTCAGTGGTGGGATTCAAATTTTTTTTACTACCGGTTCTGTGGGTGTGGCTTATTTGGTGGGCATGGCTTGGTGATCATGTGACTGGGTGGGCGTGACTTAGTGGTCATGTGACTGTGTGGGTGTGCTTGGTGGTCATGTGACTGGTGGGTATGGCCAACTCAATGTCACTCACATCAAGGGGTGCCTCACCTGGCCCCTCCCCTCCCAGCCATTCCTTGTCACCCAGCCTCTACTCATCTATAGTTCTGTAGAAATGTTATTCACCTTTTTTGACTTTATTATCTGCATACTATAGATGTACTTTCATGGACTACTGAAAGGAGGAAATGGCTCACATGTTTTACCCAAGAGTGTGATAGGCAACAGGCTTTTGGGGTTGCCACAAAGAAAGGGGGACAATGTATTTTCCAAAGAAGCAGAACGCAAACAAGAAGCAATGGATGGAAACCGAACAGAGAGAAGCAACCTAAAACTAAGAAGAAACTTCCTGACAGTGAGAACAATTAACCAGTGGAACTGCCTGTCTCCAGAAGTTCTGGGTGCTCAATCACTGGAAGTTTTTAAGAAAAGACCGGACAGCCATTTCTCTGAAATGGTATAGGGTTCACCCCAAGGTCCCTTCTAAGTATTATTCTGACACCGTTCCCAGGATCTCTACTCAGAGTCTGACATCCTCAGTTTTCTTGCCTGAGCTGGGGGTTGGACTAGAAGACCTCCAAAGTCCCTTTCAATTCTTGTTAAACACATGTTTATTTTATACTCTGGACTATTGACACTGAATGCATGTAAACCCTGAAAAATATGTGGTAACCCTGGGCAAAAGAAAGGCAGAAAAATCACTCTAGGTGTAGGGACAGTGTAAAATATTAACACATGAAAAATAATGGAACAATTAAAAATAATAGCACAGTTTTTTTCTCTCTCTCTTCCTATTTTTCTTTTTCTCCCTTCTTTCTTTCTCTCTCTCTCTCACACACACACATATACATGGAGCACTTTTGTAACTTAACAGACATGCGTTTTGAAGCAGCTCCTTTAAATTTCTCCAAGGCTGGAGTGGATTCCCCCAGCCCCTCTGTCAGACCACACTCCTTCTCACTCCAGGCACTTTAACTCACAAGGGGAAAGCGATACTTGCAGCATCCACGCCTTTCTTCCTTTCCCTCAGGGGAGAAAGAGGACATGGGGAACGGAAAGCTAGGAGAGCGATCAGGGCAAATGAGCGACCAGGCGACCGGGTTGGAGGCATGGCCTGGCAGCGTTCGCCACCGGTTCGACGACCCACACCAAATAACCGCTACCGGTTCGCCCGAATAGGTGCAAACCGGTTGAACACCACCTCTGGTGTTCCTGGTTTTGTACAAAGAAAATGGGCGATCCCAACTGAGACGTTATCACTTCTGCTTTGTCCTCTGACAGGTCCTGGTGAATGGAAGCCCATTCTGCAAATTCAAGCACAGAATCTACCCCCAATTTCTAAAGTCCATTAACTTTGGGGGAAACCTGGTGTTGCAGTCTATGATCGTGGTGGGAAGCAAAATGGAGAGGACCATGGTAAGTGTTTGCTATCCACAAGTTGGCACCTCCTGACCCTTGATCTCTTTTTAGGAATAAATACTGAGTTGGTTCAATCCCCCAGCTGTCACTTTCTCTTTTGTCCCTCCAGTTTTTCTTCTTGGACATTTTTCTTAATCCTTAAGAATTGTAGCTCCTTTTGGTCTTCAGTCGTCTTGGCTTACAACTCTGCACGCAAGCCAAAAGAATAAAATAAAATCCTATGGTGAGACTAGGACCAGCAACTGCACAGAGAGCAATTTTACCCCAGGCCAAGGTCCTGCACTTCCCCTAGCAAATGTCCATAAAGCAGAGTTTCTCAACTTGGCCACTTTAAGTTGTGGGTGGCTCAACTCCCTGAATGGCTTAGCAGACACTTGCACATCCTTATTAATGAACGCAAACAGCCAGGATGTGTGCAATGGCCGAACAGGGCAGCCTGCCTCTTCAGTCAGAATATTAGAAGTCTGTCTTATGTGCTTTCTCTACTGAAGAGCCAGACTCTGAGACATGGAGTGATAACCTTCTGTGAAACATCCAGAAAAGATGGTTGAGCCAAGGCCACAATGTAATTTTTGGCCTGGTGCAAATATCTTTCTCCATTTTTGTACAACGAAGGGGACAATCCCCAATTGTGTCTTAATCAGTTGCTTGTCCTACTGCAAGTTTCTCACACACGAACAGAGTTTCTTGGGTGATGATCAATTTACTACAAGTTACAGTTACACACTGAACAACAAAGGAATGCAAAAGAAGTGGAGGCTTGCCTGTAAAGTTTTCTTTGTGAATGGAAACATGCTGAAGATTTGATCAGACTCAGTTCAAGGTTTCAGAGCTTGAACAAAGTTATTAGACAACCCAAAGATCCAAAGTTCAAGAAGCAGAATCCACACACAATTCCTAGCAAAGGGAAACCGAGGCAGAGCAGAATAGAAGGTCTCTTCCCTTGCTTGGTGAGTAGCCCAATAGACTTTCTCTGCTCTGCTCTCTTTTCTACTAATCTGGTGTGGGGAGTGAGAAGCCTTATGCCATCCTGTCCTGGCACATCCAGCAGCTTAGGGTGCCTGTGACTCCTCAGCCTCCTGTGATGTCTGACTTGGTTTTTCCTGAGGCTGACAGTCCGCAGGATCAGCTGGATAACCTCCTACTCAGAATCTGAATCCAGAGCCTGGGCCATGACTTCGCTGTTCTTTTTTCTGCCTCTGTAACACGGTAGAATTTCTGCCACATTTCTGCCACCACAAGGTTAACCTAACACACTCAGTCCATTTCCTCCATTCACCCAATAGAATGATTTGCAACAGGCTAAGCTAATACCAACCCAGGTTATAACTCCGTTGAACAACTGCTACAAAGCAACCACAAAGGCTTCGAGGGACCTGAGCGATTGTGCCACACAAACGCAGCGGCTATTGCCGTCCTGTCCTTTAGGGCAAGTTGTTGAACTGCATAGGGGACAGCACAAAAAAGGGGGGCGGGGGGGCAGCGGGCAATGGACAAGGACATCCAGGGCTAGGGAGAAAAACATGGATTTTTTAACACTGTCTTTGGATTTCTCTCCCAACAGATGTTGACAGGCTCTGCAATCTACTACCCAGTAAGTATCAAGAGACTTGCTAACTCAGCCTCTCTCACCTGTTTAATGTTTGGTTTGGCTCACAAGCTTATAAAATCACAGGGGTGTGGGGTGGGGTGGGGGGTGGGGTGGGGGAAGCAACAGTGAGTGTAATATTTAAGGGGAAATTAGCTTCTTTTTGGTTGAGAAGGGGGCTAATATTAGTCCATTTCCCCCACATTAAAATCTGCACAAGGAAGCCAGCTGTTAGAATCAAGGTTTATGATTTCATCTACAAACTCAGTCTGTTATGGTGCCATAAACCAAGGGGCTTTCACGGGGTTTGATAAATAAAACTGAGCAGCCATGCCAACACCATGATAGCCCTACCTATTTTTTGTGTGCATTGCACATTGCTTGGGTACTTCTGTTCAAGCTAACCAAAGCCTACTGAGCAAACAAACACTTGAACCCAGCTGGTGTCTTACTATTGAGGCCAAAAATTACTTGCCTGGTGAAAGGCAGAGATGCTTGTAACCACGAGGAATGTGGGAAAAGATAAGGTGCAAGATAAGATCTCACAAGCTGCTTTCTGCCACCTTGTGGGTCTCCCACTTGGCAGCCCAAGACCTACTGGACTGCAACTACTCTGACCCCACAGCTAGCAGGGACAAAAGAACTGAACGGTTGGACAGGGGGTGCTAAGTGTAACCTGGATTCTTGTCTATTTCAGCCAGTGCCCTACACGGGCGACATTCCTGGAGGTCTGGAAACCAACAGGACCATCACAGTGCGAGGCTTTATTCCGGAGAATGCTACCAGGTCTCCAGTCTCTCTCTTTTTTTTTTTGCAGGGCTGATTTGGATTTGACACAGCAAAGCACCAGTGCGAGGGCCCTTCGTAGTCCTTTCCCAGTTGATCCCCTTTCTCTGACTCTCCCATCTCCTCTGTACACCCGCAGAGTCAGCCCGGAGGATAAGGAGGTGAAGGGGAGTGGAAGCAAATTCCACTCATGCAATCTTTGGAACTCACTGCCACAAGAAGAAGAAAAGGCAGTTACCTAAGGGCAGAGTTGCCCAAAGGGGGACATCTGACATGTCATGATAGGATTGGCTAATTGTTTAGGGCAGGGATCGCCAACCTGTTGGACCTCAGGGACCACCAAACTCATAATTTTAAATCCCAGGGACCACTAATATGAATTTTGATTGTGGCTTGCTCACGTTGGTGGGAGAGAGAGATGTGATCTAACCTCTTTCTCTCCCTCTCTCTCTCACACATACATACACCAACACACAGAGCAGGGGTAGGATTCAAATTTCTTAACAACTGATTCTGTGGGCACGGCTTAGTGGTCATGTGACTGGCTGGGCATGGCTTGTATGTAAATATTATAAATATTTATGTAAATATTGGGTTTTTTTATATAAAAAAAGCAACTTTTACCCATAATCAGGCAAAGCAGACAGGCAGATTGAGTCGCTCACAAAATAACAGATTCACTCAGAGATCTTTCTGCCATCGGCTACTTGAGTCTGTCACATAAAATTTGCTAGCAAGTAAACTCACAAAATTAATTCACAACACACCATGTATTTTTTTTTATAAAAAAAGAGCAACTTTTACCCAAAATCAGGCAGAGCAGGCAGGCAGATTGAGTTGCTCATAGAATCACAGATTCACTGAGAGATCTGTGTTTCTGCCACAGGTTACCTCAGTCTGCACTGAATAATAGAAGCTTCAGGCTCAGTTCTGCTTTTAGAATAGCTAGAAAGTGAGAAATCCAACAATTTCCTGCTTTCTAGCTAATCTAAATCTCCCAGCACAGCAGAACAGCTGATGGTCGGGGAAAATAAAAGGAAAAATGGAAACTTAGCTTGCAAGTTTGCCAGGTCAGGAGTGAGTGGGTGGGGAGAGCTCCTGCTGGCCATGTGGGCTGAGCAGCCTTGTCTTCCTGTGCAGCCTGGATTAATTGCTTTGGGGGGCGGTGTTCTGGGGGTGACATTTCTCAGCAGACCACCAAAATTTTCTCACAGACCACCGGTTTAAGGAACTCTAGCTCAGGAGGCGGCTGTAAAGAATGATTAGGACCAGAATAATGCATTAGGCAAGATCAGCTGGTCTTCATTGGAACAATGCTACTCACTAGTAGACTGCTGCCAAATATGCATTTTTTCATATGTGTCTGTCTCATTTATTGCTCACAAAAAGTTGCTTTGATTGTGGCAGAACGTAAATGAAATGAATAAATACCTAAAATAATAACTAGAACTTAAAACATTCAGCAACAGCCTACCAATAAATAATATTTACAAAGAGGAAAAGAGATTCCCCCCCTCTTTTAGCCTTCTCCCATGGAGGGAACTGTCAGGCTGCTAATGGATTAAGCGGAGGGGGGGGGGGAATCAGATTTCCTTTTAGTACTTCCAAGGTCTAATCTCAGATGTCTGCTTTTTTTACCTCTTTCCAAGGTTTGAAATCAATTTAACAGTTGGCAACAATATTGCCCTGCACCTTAATTCACACATGAAACCACAGAGATATTTGGTGTACAACTATTATCTGAATGGCACGTGGGGAGCTGAGAAAAATGATCTGCCCTTTAACCCTTTCCAATTGGGGCAATACTTTGAGGTGAGTTGGGCGATTCTAGTAGGAAGGAGTATCAATAGGGAGGAGGTCACAAAAGTCAAGATGGCAGCCACATCTGATGCTATCGCCCCTATTTTACCTGACTTGAATGGACAGCCCTGGATCCCATCAAAGAGCTTGTTTTGGTTGGCCGACAAGAAGGCAAGTGGTGTGGAGGGAAGAGAAGACCCAGCAGGTGCTTCTCCAAAGTGTAAGACTCCACCCCCCATAATTCCCAGCGAGTACAGCTTTCAGGAGTTGAAATCTGAATCTCTGCTGGAAAAGAGGGCATTGAGAACCCTGCGTCAACCTTCTGACCGACAAACTCAACCAAAGCAAGCATGGCCGAGACAATACCATCTCTTAACGCAAAACTTTATTGAGTACATCGTTTTGGCAAAGATGAGGGCAAAGCCAGATCTAACTATTTCCCGCGCAAACCCACCTAGTCAAACTTTAGATTCTCCTTCCCCCTGTTAGATCAGGTCACATTGTCCAATGGAGTCTCCTGGTATTGTTGTGAGAAAGTCTTTTGGCTCTGGTAAACACCTGCCCAAGTGTCCTTGGTTCTCATGGCTGGCTTCTTGATGTCTGGAGCCCACATTCCATCTCCCCCTTCCCTCCCCAATGGTTCATGGGCGAGCCGAGAAGCGACACTAGTTGTAACAGCCAAAGTGCAACTTCGAAGCTTGACGACATGATTTTAGGTGTCTCCTGGAAAATTGTCCTTGCATTGCCCTTGGGGTTTTTCGGGACGGGGAGAGAAGAGGGTGGCAGTTGCAATGCCTCTCAATGAACCCCCACCCTTTATGAGCTGGACATGCGTTTTGATTTTGATGCAAGCTGTGGGTGGTGTAGGCCAGTGGTCCCCAACCTTTTTTATGCCGCGGCCCGGTACCAGCATCACAAAATCATCCGCGGCCCGGTACCAGCATCAGCATGCATGGCAAGGCGAGCCGAGTGACCGGCCGGCCAGCCGTCCCCCGCTTCTCCCCGCCACCTTCAACTCCTCCTTTGTACCTGTGTCGATGGGCTTCGGGACGGCTTCGGGACGGTCACTCGGCTCGCCTTGCCATGCGTGCTGAAAGAATCCTTGCACCTTAGTTTTGTTCGAAGCCGCCCCCCCCTCCAATGAAACTAAGGCACGAGGATTCTTTCAGCACCCAAACGCTGCTTTCTACCCGGGAAAGCTCACCGGAAGCACTTTTTCATCAAAACAAGATGGCGGCGCCCAGCAAACCGACAGCCCGGTAGAAATTGTTCCACGGACCGATACTGGTCCCCGGACCGGTGGTTGGGGACCCCTGGTGTAGGCGGCAGATCCTCCTGCCTGGAGGATCAAAAGTGGCCCAGATGTGCTAATTTGCCAGACTAATGTCCTTCCTTCCTTCTCAGATCTTGATCTGCTGTGACAGACACAAGTTCAAGGTTTATACGAGTGGCCGCCACCTGTTCAACTTGGCCCATCATTATGCCTTGACTAGACAGATCTGCACTCTTGAGATCAAAGGAGACGTGACCCTTTCCTATATCAATTATTAAGCAACGGAGCTGGGGGAGACCTCAGTAGCAGCACAGATTCCCCCCTTGCTTCTCTCTCTCAGTCTGCCAATACACTTCGAATCCTGCTGAATTTGAATGGTCTACAAGCTCCAGTAAATCAATCAGACACTCAAGAACAATATTAAGCAGCATTTTCAATCAAGCATCTTGATCAAGGAATGCAACAGACTTAATTTTCTGCCTTCTGAATTTGATCTGTAGAAGATACAAAGCATTTTTAAAATAAAGTTGGTACCTTCCAGGTATGTGTTAAGTGAGTTTTTCCCCAGGACTGTTCTTGCCTCCGTTGTTAAGTGAATCACTTCAGTTGATAAGTTAGCAACCTCATTGTTAAGTGAATCTGGCTCTGAAGAGCACAAAAGGGGATCACGTAACCCCAGGACACTGCAGTGGTCATAAATATGAACCAGTTGCGAAGCACCTGAATTTTGATCACATGATCAGTGCTGTTGCAAGTATGAACAGTCACTAAATGAACTGTTGTAAGTCAAGGACTACCTGTAATACATTTTAAAGAAATGCAAAAAGACCTGAAATCCGTTCTTTTCCTTCTGTTTATCCAGGGTTATTTGATTTTGCCACATCTCTGCGCAATTTTTGTTATTTTCTCCGATTCTGGTTTCGTGCTGATATAAATGAATATATCATCATACCGTATAATCATTATGTGTAAAACAAAATGGAGTATGTATTGCTTCTTAAAATGCTTAGCATAAGATGTTAATAACTGGAACAATTATAAGCGGTCTTTAAAGACATTTAACAGGAAAGAGCTAAAATGTCAAACCACAAGCAAGCAAGGTGCCAGCAATAACTGCAAACAGGGAACAAAAAGGCCAATAAAAGCTTAAAACTGGTGAACCAGGAAAATGGGAGGGGGGGTTAGAGTGCTTTAACAAGATGCAGTGCAAAAAAAAAAGCAAACATCCAAAAGAAAAGAAACCAAATCAAAGTAATTAGAACTCTAGGTACATTAGAAAAGAAAACATTTACAAAATATCAGAACACAGAACAAAAGATATATTAAGAAACAGGACAAGCAGGAAAAGAGAGAAGTAAACCATGATAACAAGGAAAACAAACCTGAGGCCAGGGACCTTGCAAACACAAAAGACTACTTTATCTAAACACAGAAAGCCCAGGACATTGCAGAAAATAAACACAAAAGATTAATTATAAAGAACAAACATTTATCCAAGGGCTAGAAAGTGAAGATTGGATGATAAAAACAATTCAAGCACATTTACTCAAACACTCTAGCATTCACTCCTCTTCCTTCCTCAAGAGATTGCTCTCAAGACGGAAGGACACAATCACCAGACAGGATTAAAACCAGTAAAACAATCACAAACACAAAAGCCCACCTGACCTGGGGGGCTCACATTGCAGCCCTAGTCAAAAGGGCCCAGAAGAGATTATATTACCTGAGACTTCTCAGGAAACAACTGAATGGAAAACTGCTGGTGACCTTTACTGCTGCACCATAGAGAGTATCTTAACTTACTGCATCTTTCTATGGTTTGCCAATTGCACAGGGGCAGAGAGGATGGCACTCCAGAGGGTGAACATCATTGCCCAGAGGATCTTTGGCTGCCCTCTCCCCTCTTTGGAAGAGCTTTACAGCTCCCGCTGCCTTAAGAAAGTTCAAAACATTCTCAAAGATCCATCTCATCCTGGGCTCCCTTCTTTTTTTTTTTTTGAACTATTACCATCTGGTAGACGGTACAGAATAAAAACAAGGACAAAGAGGCTGAAAAACAGCTTCTATCCCAGGGCAGGAGCTCTATTGAATTCTACTATATAGTGCAGTATTAATGCAGTATCGGGTTTTCAATTCAATTGTATAGAATGCGAAGGAGGTGTGTTTGTGTTTATTTTCACAGTCATAATATACACTGAAGATGGTATTTAATTTTGTTGTACGAGATGCAGTGACAATAAAGTAAACTAGAGATGAGCTTCAAAGGAAAAAAGGAGTATAAAACACCATGTGATTACAGTTGAAAGTTGCTAGCCCCAGGAACGCTGTTCTTGTGGGTCACTTGCCTTCCTGAGAACAATTAACCAGATCCGGCTTTCACGCAGCTAGCGTCGAATCCTTCCACCTCACATCCTCCCAGTCGGGAAATTCGAACCTGGAAAAAGGGAAAGGCTTTACTTTCAACAACTGCTTTTGGGGGCTTTGGGGAGAGACAGCAAAAAGGGAGGGGGAGAAAATGGGTTTGAGCAAGGGGATAAAAGGGGCTAAATGTGAGTAGCGTGTTCACTTTACTGGGCTCATATTTGCAAATACGCTAATAAAATTCCTTGTTACTTTCAAGTTATTGTCTCAAATAGTCCCATATGTGACGTGAACTGTTTATCACAGTGCCATTTTGGAACTGTTTGTGCTCTGTTGTCTAGGATCACAGCAGATACAATGATATGATGGGACTTGTGGGGCCACTCATTCTTATCTTTATGGTGTTGTCAGTATTAGATGCTTTTTTGGGTTGCTTCCTTGTCTTTCATAAAGCTGTTCAATTAAGCCACTGTTGTCCATCAAAAGGTCTTTTGCTGCTTTTGGAAGTCTTTCAGAAGGGATTAACTTCTTGTTTGGAGAAAGTGAGTTAACCCCTGATTAAAAAAAATATAAAAAGACATCTGATGGAAAGAGCACTGTGAGTACCTAAAACCATTTGGAGAAGGTTGATGAATCACAATATCAGGGTTTTGGCACCAGAAACAAAGCACAAATAGGAGCTATGAAATGCCTTTCCTTTTAGAAGAAATATTCCTCAAGAGAAGCCTAGATTAGACTTGGTCCTCACAGGGAACGGAATGAGGTGGGATGGAAGAATTACAGAAATGTTACCTGTAAGATACGTTACCTGTAAGAAGTTATAACTTCACGGAGAGTAGAGATACAAGTTTTTAGTTTCAATTTGAGCTTGGATTATGGAATTGTGCATGATGCAACGGCAGAGGAGCTGAATGAAGTCACTTTGAAGAACACGAAGGAGCTGAAGAGCAACCAAGGAGATGCATCTCTTTTTTATATTTACTTTGATTTGTACGCTTTCTGCACAGCAGGTAAGGCTCAATTTTGTGGGTTACAATAGCTGTAATAGCTGGGGTGCCTGCAGACGAAATGAGTATTCATCCTTTGAACTTGTTGTCCTCCCTCTTTAACTTACACAGTTCTTCACGAAGCGATTGAAAAATCAAGCAGGGGGCTTTGAGTACTCGGGCTTGATAATAGACTATACAAGGAAAAGAAATATCACGAAAAGACTAGCCTCATCTAAGACATTAGAGGATGAGTATAAAGAACCTGGAAAGAGTTACAGAAAATGCCACAGAAAAAGGACATTAAGTTAAAAATGGATATAATTAAACATAAAATGGGATTAATGGAAAAAGAATTAGCACAGAAAATCAGAGGCACGAAACAACTACTTTGAAGATGCAAATAAACCAGGTAGATGGTTAGCATATAAACTGAGAAAGGAGAAAAAAATCAAGGAAAATATTGCAATTAATAAATGATCAAGGCCAAGTTTGCTATGGAAGCAAAGAGAAGGAAATTATACGAGACTATTACGGGAAACTATACACAAGAGAATATTGATGATGAAAGAGTTAAGCAGTACTTACAGAATGCTAACCTACCACAGATACCTAAAGAGATTGCAATAATGTTAGAAAGTAATATAACGATGATTGAGTTAACTGAAGCACTTAAGAAGCAAAACAATGGAAAGGCACCAGGCCCAGATGGACTTCTGGCGGAATTTTATAAAACACTACAAGAATCATTGAATCTTCCATTGCTAGAAGTTATGAATGAAGTTATGTCAAAGAAAAAGATACCTAAATCATGGACAGAAATTTATATTACACTTATCCCAAAAGAGAAGGCCAACTCATTACAAATCAAGAATTACAGACCTATTTCCCTACTAAATGCAGATTGTAAAATTTTTGCTTCAATATTGGCAGAAAGACTTAAAAAATACCTAAATAATTTTATTCATTCTGATCAAAATGGATTTTTGCCAAAGAGACAAATTAAAGACAATATGAGAGTAATTTTGGACACTTGGAATACTACAAGGCGCACCCTGAAAAACAAATGGCTTTGGTATTCTTAGATGCACAGAAGGCATTTGACAATTCATGTTATTACAGCTGGAACAAATGGGTTTTGGTAAAAAATTCATCCAAGCAATAGAAGCTATATATCATAAACAAACAGCAAAGGTAATGACAGAGGGAGAATTAACGGACTCTATTGATATAAGAAAAGGAACAAGACAAGGGTGTCCACTGTCACCTGTTGTTTGTGTTAACCTTGGAAGTGCTAAATAGAAACATCAGAGAAGAAAAGGGCATAAAAGGGATGAAAATTAAAAAAGAATTTAAATTGCAAGCATTTGCAGATGATCTGGTTTTCATCTTAGAAGACCCACTAGAAACAGCATTAAAATTGATAGAAAAGATAGAGGTATATGGGAAGGTGGCTGGTTTGAAAATAAACAAAGACAAAACAAAGAATTTGACAAAGAATGTGTTATCAAGACAAAAGGAAGAACTGGCAGATACATTAAAAATCCAGGTCACGAATAAGACCAAGTACTTGGGGATACATTTGACAGTAAGATGTAGTACACTAAAAGAGAATAACTATATTAAACTTAAGCAGCAGATAGCGCTAGATTTGGCAAAATGGGAAAATTTACAACTGTCATAAATGGGGAGAATATCAACAATCAAGATGAATATGGCCTCTTTGACCCCTCTTTCAAACCAGCCGATCCTTCGTCCAAAATGTAGACTTTGCTGTCTTCAATAGAATGATTAAGAACATAGGTAAACCTCCAAGTGGCCTCAATGACTCTCTACAAGGATGCAAATGACCAGCTGTCTACAAGGAATATAAATCCTTCCATCCTCCACCATCCAGTCAAAGCTGAAGAAGCTTCTTGGATGAGAAGTAAAACACCCTGAAGAAAAA